GGGAAATTTGTAAAATACACTTAAGATGAAAGTTAACCATTTATTCTTATTTATCTATTTATTTTAGAGTAATTAATTCAGTACTTCTCATGTGCACTCTGTGAAACCATCATCACTGCCTCGTTGGAGAAAACCTGCCACACGGAGAGTTCCCGGGCAGTTTTCTGGACTCGCCCAGGTAGGAAGTCCTGGTGTCACAGCAAAGGCTCCAGTTTATGGACCTGTCTCTGGCCACACGAAGAACTTCCTCAGAGGTTGAAAGAAGCACTGACCTGTGGGTGCATTTCTCTCATTCCTGCACTGCTCCTGGCTCCCTTTTCTCTCCTCAGAGTTTCTATGGTAACACCATTATTTCCTAGAAGATTGGCATCTTCACATCCTAATTATAATAAACTAGTACTGGCTTGAACAAGGGGCAAACAGAGGAGTTAGTTGTTGTGGTGGTATTGTGTTCCCCAAAATACTGTGCACTCTAATAGACTTATCTGTGGTCAGAGAACAGAACAGCCACTAGATACAGAGGCTAGAAAATGGTGGCACTCACGCCTTTAATCCTAGCATTCCAGAGGCAGAAATCCCTCTGGATCTCTGTGAGTTCAAGGCCACATTGGAAACAGCTAAGCATGGTGACACACACCTTTAATCCCAAGAAGTGAGCCTTTAATCCCAGGGAGTGGTGGCAGAAAGGTATATAAGGCTTGAAGACCAGAAACTAGAAGCTTTTAGCTGGTTAAGCTTTCAGGCTTTGAGCAGAACAGTTCAGCTGAGATTCATTCTGGATGTAGACTGAGAGGCTTTCCAGTCTGAGGAAGCAGGATCAGCTGAGGAACTGGCGAGTTGAGGTAGCTGTGGCTTGTTCTGCTTCTCTGATTTTTCAGCATCCACCCCAATACCTGGCCTCAGGTTTGATTTTATTTAATAAGACCTCTAAGATTCATGCTACAAGTTGTCTTGTGACTTCCCACCACCAGCCAGCTCCTTTGGTCACCTGACCCCAAGCATGACTTCAGCACCATGACTGTATCCTAGCGTGGAAACCAGGCTGGAGGCTCTTTTGAATTTTATCTCCTCTGCACTGCATAGATTTTCCCCATGTTACAGCTCTTGGTAACGCTTACCGTATGATACTATTCACACTAAAGACAGTAACACCCATAATGTTGTGTGTGTTTTCACTAAAAGCCCCTTTGCTTTAGTTCATGCTTCATCCTCCCTAGGATCTGGGTCTTTGGGTACACATGCTAAAGGGATGGGGGTCTTTCAGGAACATTTTGCAGGTCTATACATTTTTTAAAATATAGCATTTGAACTTCAACCCTTCATCCCCTACAACTTTGGGGATGTCTTCCCTGTGACCATTTTTCCTTTTTTTGAGATGATAATTACTACATTTCCCCTTTCCCTTTCCTCCCTCCAAATTCATGGTCTCTTTTTCCCTAATTGTTATTACATGCATATGTAATATATATATATATATATATATATATGTATATATATATATATATATACATACACACATATATGTGTGTGTGTGTGTGTGTGTGTGTGTGTGTGTGTGTACACATATATATTCTTAAACTTAACCTGTTCAGTTTGTATAGTGTTACTTGCATGGATGTTTGTTTCCAGGACTGATAATTTGGTATCAGATTAAGAGTTTATGTTAAAAATTATAAATCTGCTGTTGGTCAAATTTTTGCTATTTTTAATATCTGTTGGTTTGCCACAGTACAGGTTTGGGATTGACTTTTTTTTTTTTTCAAATTTGAACTTCTGTATTTGGGCTACATTTGGGGCTAATGTTTAAAATGCATAGATATCTACCAGTTTCTCATGCCTCTGCAAATAGCACTGCCCACAGATACATCAGCATTTCATATCAAGCCTCATCACATCTGCATATGGCCTACACAATTCCCCATGTGCCTTCCATCATCTCTGGATTTCCTGCAAGTCACCACACAGAATGCAACACTGGGGAATGCATTGTGCTGCACCATTTCAGGAGTGTCCAAACTTCAGAACTGCAGCTCACTGTTTCTGTCTTCAGAGTTCATTCAGGAACAGGACTATCGAGTTGTCAAAAAAAATCACAAAAAAAGTTCTCCTGTCTTAATTCAACTAATGATTTAGACTGTGTTCAGCTGCGTATAACCCACAAGCTGAGTTCATGGCTGTTTATGGCCACATGTGACTGTGGGCTGCAGGTTGGACACACCTGGTAGAGAAGAAATGACTATTAAACAAGAATGTGCTTGGCACCAACAAAGAGTTTTTCAAATATTTTTCTAAAGAGATTTGAATCCAAGGATGTGGAATTTGTGGGTATAGGCATTTGTATATTTAAAGCCTGTGTTAAAAATGTAACGGGTGGGGGGCTAGAGAGAGGGCTCAGCTGTTAAGAATGATGGCTGCTCTTTCAGAGGACCCAGATTCGATTCCCAGAACACACATGGCAGCTTACAACTGTCTGTAATACCCGTTCTAGGAGATGTGATGTCCTCTTCTAGCATTTGCATGCATCTGGTGTGTGTGAACACACACACACACACACACACACACACACACACACACACACACACACACAAATAAATAGTAAAATAGAATCTTTTTAAAACACAAAGCAAGTTTAAGATGCATATTGAAAGTCAGAATGTGTATGAAGTAGCTTTGCTTAGCACTCAACAATCTCCTAGAGTCTGGTGTTTCCCACCATTGGCTGATTTCTCCCAGCATGTTCCAGTCAGGTTTTCCCACTCCCCTAGGGCGACTGTTCCTGAGGCAGCTGTCTTACTGTGGGGACCTGTCACCCATCTCTCTCTCTATTTTTGTCAGTTGTTGTCATTGTTGAGAGAAGCGTGACGGTTTGTTCTCTTGCTTGACTTTAACTGCCAGCTTCACTAGATCTGGAGTCATCTAAGAGAAACCTTAATTAAGAATTGTCTAGGCTGGTCTGTAGGCAAGTCTGTGGGAGACTGCCTCGATTGTTAATTACATAGGAAGACCAGTCCACTGTGGGTGGCGCCACCAGTCCCTAGGCAGGTGGTCCTGATGTACATAAGGAAGCTAGCTGAGCCTGGGTCAGCAGATGAGTGAGGAAGCCAGCAAGCTTGCTGTCGCTCCTTCCTAAGTTTGTGCCCCAACTTTGCTCAATGCTCAGCTGTAACTTGGAAGTATGAGATGAAATAACCCCTTTCCCCACTAAACTTGTTATGGTGTTTATCACAGCTACAGAATTCAAACTAAAATGGTATTCAGAGTCAACTTGGCTCAATTTGGAACCACCTAGGAAACAGATCTCCAAGCATTCCTACGAAGGCATTTCTAGAGAGATTTACCTGAGGAGAGGTGATCCACCGATAATTCGGGAGGCACTGGCCCACAGGCTGGAGTCCCTGACTGAACGAAAAGGAAAACTGAGGAACAGCATTCACCTCTTTCTGGCTTCCTGACTGTGGAACGGGGGGCCAGCTTTTCACTTCGGCCATGCTTTCCTCATCTTGACAACTGTACTCTCAAGCCACAACCCTAAACAAACCCTTCCTTCCCTGAATACCTTTGTCAGATATCTGACACAACCGTGAGACAAGCATCTAATTCAAGGAGATTTCCTCATTCCTCTGCAGATCAGGAGCTCCAGCTAAGCCACTTCCCTTTTGCTACCCCGTCTGTCTGCAGAATATTCCTATTAAAAGTCTTTCTCAGAAGCGGTGTTATTTTTTACTCTTTTTTACTCTTATTTTGTAATAGCTTCTTATTTTTGGATGCCACATGTCTATGCTCATAGCAGGAGAACCCAGCTTCTAAAAGCTGTCAGTCTTCTCAAAATTGGTCTACAGATGCAACGATTTCTAATCCAAATTCTAATAAGAATTCTGTGGATCCTGACAAATTGATTCTAAAATTTCTCTGGAAGTGTGAAAGAACAAGAATAACAGAGAATATGAAGAATGGAGTGAAAGCCGTACACGCTGGCTTCCAAGGTTGGCCCCAGAGAGCTGTGAGGATATTGATGAATTTGCCGGCTGTACGGACATCCGGATGAGAGCCACTCCTGCAGAGAAGGGGCAGGCCAAAGGATGGGTCATGTGACAGCTAATCTTGGTTGTCAATTGGATTTACTTGGGAAGAAGGAACTTCAGTTGAAGAACTGGCTCCATCAGATTGGCTTGTGGGCACACCAGGGGAGCATTTAGTTCTGTCTTTGTTTGTTTGTTTTGATTGCTAATTGATGCAGGTGGACTTGGGTTATACAAGGAAGGTAGCTGACCAGGAGCCTTCCCAAGCCAGCAAACAGTGTTCCTTCACGGTTTCTGCTTCAGCCCCTGAATCCAGGTCCTGCCTTGATTTTCTTACCTTGGATTCCCTCCAGGGGCTGTAACATCTAAGCCAAATAAACCTTTTCCTCACCAAGTTGATTTTGGGCAATGTTGTGTTTGTTTGTTTGTTTGTTTTGTTTTTGTTTTTATCACAACAGCAGAAACAGAACAAGAGTAGTAAGGAGTGATTTCTCAGTGATGGGACTCACGATTGGCTGGTCTGATGTTGTATGAGACAGACTCTGTGGTGGTATTGTGTTCCCCAAAATATTGTGCACCCTAATAAATTTATCTGGGGTCAGAGACAGAACAGCCACTAGATACAGAGGCTAGAAAATGGTGGCACTCACGCCTTTAATCCTAGCATTCCAGAGGTAGAAATCCCCGTAGCCTCTTCTACCCCGTGCACCAGCACCGTGATGTTCCACCCAGGTCCCTGGAGCCAGCCATCTAGGACTGCACCCTCAGAAACCACAGGCAGAGGAAAGCCTTCTTCCTTCAGGTTGTTTCCTCGGTTATTTTGGTCACAGCTACTTCTAAGTAGCACAGTTACTCACATTTTAAAAGGTAAAAGGAGTTGCCTATCACCTGTTAAAATCCAGACTGATTGCAAATGCATTGCAAACTTTAAAAAAAAGTGAAGCTTAAAATTATTTAAAACTAAACACTGAGGATATATATGTTCTGAGATACGAGAAGAGGTCTTAAAATAGAAATTTTCCATTCAATATTTTTTTTAAATTGATCATTTTAGTGGATTTGCGATCAAAACTTCTGTTTTTGAAAACACATGATAAAGGAAGCTAAAAATGGAAGAAAATATTTCAGCTTATGTGGGTGAAAACGTGAGGTTTGCATGTTTAGAATCTGTGAGGCCCTTCACATCTCTGCAATAGACTAAAAAAAGAAATGAATGAATCATGAAAGCGGGTGGACATGGACCATCCCCTTCCCAAAGTGCATGGAGACATCTGTGCAATAAATAAAGATGATAGCCAGCCATTTTAGAATTCAGTAAAATGCCAATCAGGACAGAGGGTGGTCCGTCTTGTCCCATGGCATCGGCAGTGGCTGCTTAGTGAGCTGATGGTACCATGGACCTGGAAATCTGCACAGCTAGGGTGCATATTTAAATTTTC